GAGGCAGAGATGGGGGAGCCGGGGTGAAAATAGTTGGAGCAAAAGGAGGAAGGCTGATGCGTTGGGTGGCTGGACGTGCTGGGACGGGCTGGAGGGTCTGTACGAGGACCAATGGAAATGGAGATCGCAAAGGTGACGGAGGCCATATAGGAGGGTCTCAAATGTCACAGGTAGCACTGGGGAGCCACTAGAGGTGTTGGAGATGGAGAGTGCCAAGCTACAGTGGCATCTCAGCATGGTTAATCGGTTATTGGTTTAAAGGACGAGCTAGGCTATTGGGCAAGAAGTGGCAAGAAAGCCCATTTTTCAGGAGGCCTGAAAAATAACCCAGCCGAGAAGCAGAGAAGTCATTCCTATCACCACGTTGGTACTTCCCTAGAATTTTCACAGACCAGTGCCCACCTTCCAATTCATTCATTCATTCATTCATTCATGCATGCATGCATTCATTCAACAGGTATTTATTAAGCACTTACTGAGTACCAGGAGCCATGTTAGGCTCTTTCTCCATTGCCCCCTCTCTCTTGCTGACTTTAGAATGAGAAGACGGAGGTTAACAAACTCTCATCCATGGCACCTGGGGGACCTCAGCTCAGCCTCCTCCTTTCTACTCAAACTAATCCAGTAGCTTCCGTCTTTGGAGCAGGTATATGGGGGGAATGAGAAAACTACATGCAGCAAGGGATTGTGGGGTGGCACAGGGTAGGAAAGTTTGAGGACAGGAGGCTGAGCAGCTGGGGCAGCAGAAAGCTGTTGGTGGATGAGAAAAGCAACGTTGACCACGGAGGGGGTGGATATCTGGGGGAAGGAGGCTGGACAAGGAGGGAAAAATGGAGAAGGACGAGAAGGAGGCAAGCCTCCCGGTGAGGGTGGGGGCCCAGAGTGAGGGAGGGACAAATCAGAGAGCTGGAGGAGGAAGTGGAGTCTTAGTAGCTAGAAGTGGGTGAGGGAGGCGGTGGGGGCTGGTAGGCGAGGGCAGAGGAAATGGGCCCGGGAGCTGGAGACAAAAGTCTGGGAGTCTGAGCCTCTGAGGAGCCACCTGGAAGGTGCAGGCAGCGGCAACATCAAACTTGGGATCCAGGGTTGGCTCTGGGAACTACTGCACTTGGGGGAGGGGGTGGCTCCAGGGGGAGATGATAGCGCAAGAGGGGCCTGGACGTGCTATGCCCTCTCCTCCCCTCTGAAGGCCACAGGCGACTCCCGAGTTCCACCCCCCAGCACAAGCTCTAGGCCCTCTTGTGCCCACCGCTGGCCTACCTCATCTCTCCCTCCCACCCCCCACTGGTGGTGGGAAAGCGCGTTGTTCTTAGTTTGGAGGTGTGAACAGAAGGAGAGAGGGGGTCCCCTGCCAAATAGGGTCTGGGTCGTGTTAATAGTCCCTCTCTCGGCAAACACGGTCAGGGTCCCCACACACCCTTTCTGATCCAAAGGCTGGGAGAAGGGGTGTGGGCCAGCAGCTCCAGGCCAAGGGCTGAGTCTTTTTCTCGCCCCCCCCCCCCCCAACTGCCCCCACCCCAAGATTCTCCCATCTTTTGGACTGGACCTGCTACCTAAGCATATGGAACCGATTGAAAGAATTTGTATGCTCACCTTATAATTTATGCAAATCAACTCTGTAATTAACTATAATTTGGAGGCATCCTTTGGTATTTGAGACATTTATCCATGAGGAAATGCCCTAGTGATAATGCTCCTGTATTAACATTATTTACTCCACCTGTGTGGTCTCTCCAGCTTGTTTCCCCCCCTCACTCTGATTTTCTGGGCTGGAAGGTGGGGAGGGACAGGGAAGCCCCTCCCTGGAGCCTGCCACAGTCCTGACGCCTGGATTCTCCCAGGGAGTTGTGCTGGCCCTGTCTTCCCAACTTAGCGTAGGATTGAAGGAAGGGGTGCAGTTCTGCCTCCCAAGTCCCCCATCACTCTATTCTCTCCTGCCTGATGGGTGGGTTTCTGCTGAGCTTTTCGGCGCTCTTAAAGGCCTCAGTGTCCTCATCTCTAAAATGGGGAGAGGAAGGACCTGTCAGGGCCTTTACAGGATAATTACTGAAAAGCTAATGAAGGGACTGGGAATCCCCAGTCTAGAGATTTCTGGGGGTGGGGGTGGGGGGGAGGGGCAGGATGAGAGTTCAGGATGAAGGCTCCTTGACTCACCCTGTGCTAGACTCAACGGGGGAGGTGGCATGCAACCTTGGGTCACCGGGTTCTGCGCATGTGCAGAGGGGTGCACAGCAGCACCTGTGCTCAGGCCCAAGGGCGCTGGGCTATGGCTGAGCATGGGATGCGATCTCATGAAAAGTCTCCAGGCCACTCTCCAATGTAGGTCAGAATTCCTAGCTTCAGAGAACTCGGGGAAACCGGTCTTATTCTGCTTGATCTCCTTTCTCCTTCCTGGTCCTTTGTCCCCCTCTGCTCCAGGACATGCGCCTGTTAGCCAACACGCCTAACCTTACCACCACCCTAAAATTAAATTCCTGTAAATCGTTGGGGATGTGGGGCCACCACCTAAATTCACCTCCAGGCCCCGTCTCCCTTTCCAGGCCACCTTCCCAGCCTCTTCACTCTCCTGGAGTCCCAGGATTCCTGAACCGTCTATAAAAGTTCTTGGCTAGGCTCTGCCTCTAGTCTTCGGTGACCTCTTGCCCATCCCAAGCTGCCCCACCCTATCCTAAGTCGGGGAGATGGTCTTCCCACCCCACTTCACAATGAGAGATCCCAGATTCAAAAGGTGGCTTACATCAGGTCCTGAGCGTTCCAAGTTGGGGAGTATCTGAAAAGGGGGTGAAGGAAAGGAGGAGGGGGGATGAGGCTCCAGCAGAGGCAGGGGAGACCTGCTAGAAGAGCCATCCCTGATGGGGAGCTCTGCAGGGAGGGACTGACTTGAAGCGGGGGCGGGAGGGGGGGCAGTTGCGTCTCAAGTCTTAAAAGTGGCACTTCCTTCTTTCCCACCAAATCTATGGAGAAAACCTCAGAAGGAGGGAGATGTAATGTGGAGAGTTCCAGCCATTCCAGATCTCTCCGCTGATCCTGTGAGAACCACTTTGTCCCTCTCCCACTGCCCGTCCAACTTCTGGGGGAGGGAAGTCCTGTTCCCCCGTCCCCCACCCCCAGCTGCCTCTTCCAGCTGAAATCCTCCTTTCCTGGCAGACCTCGGAGACTCAGATCTCACCCCCTACCACTCCCCCCAGGAGAGCCGGGGGGCCACTGTTTCCTGGATTATCCTAAAAGCTTCCGAGAGGGCCGAGGAGGACTTGGCAACAGCCCTGCCAGAGACTCTCACCTCCCCCTCTGGCTCTGGCTGTCGCCTCCTTTATAAAAGCCTGGTTCTCCCATCACCCCCCTGCTTGCCCCTCACTGCCGCTGCCAGCTCTGGGCTCCATGGACTGGTAAGAGGGGCTGGGCTGTTCCCCAGTCCGGTTCAGGGGACAAGAGGATCAAGTCTCCACTCCAAAAGGATCGCGGAGAAGGGTTTGGAAGGCTTGATTCTCTCTGAATCAGGAAGGAGGAGATAAGAGGGACTCTTATCTGGGGGACTCTATATGGAGAATCAAAGAGGATTCTTTGGAGGTCTGTGGACTTGGCTGAGCTGAGATCTGGGGGCGAAGTGGGGCGGGGATTCACCAGTTAATAGATAACCAAGGGCTTCATTCTGAGAGAAAAGACGGGCGAATATTAATAGACATATAAGGCACACGCTCACCACATGGAAGTTCATGCGCGATAGAAGACCCGCAGAGGTAGTAAGGGAGAAACCTCTGTACATGTCCTGTGGGGACCTCCCTTTATGATGGAGACAGGACAGACACCCCACATTCAAGCCCCAAAGGTACACACAGGCACGATGGGTACACTCCCCCCCCCCCAGCATACAGATATACTATCCTCAGCTGGGTTCATCTTCTAGACTAAAAACAGATGTGGATGCCAGTGAGAGTTGGATTTGTAATAGATTCAGTGCCCCGTATAGTGCCTGGCCCTAGGTAAGCCCTCAATAAGTGCTGAATGAATATGGATGAATGAAAGAGAACCATTTGGTCCCAGCTCTGGACTCTGCCCAGTTTCCCAGGAATATGGGAGAGCAGGGTGGGAAGAGGGAAGGAGAGGAGGAACGTGTTGGTGTCCAGGATCATTAGTTAGCAGGTCTCCGAGTGCAGCCTGAAGGCGGGAGTGGAAAGTGGAGAAGAGAGAACAATCGGGAATTAGGAGATGGTGGGGGGGGGGGGGGGTTGGTCCCTGCTCTGCTTCTGAATTTCTGTGTGACTTTGAAACTGGGGTCCAGTTTCCCTACCAGTAAAACAAGGACTTGCATTGGACAATTGTTACGGGCAGACCAGCTTTAATACTTTCGTAGGTCAGTCTCCACAGGAGGACGACTGAGATTTAGAAAGGACCCCGGATATACCTGTGACTTGTCCCCGCAGTCCAAGATGGGACCCGTTTGTCCTATTACAGTCGGGATCATGGATGGCTTTGATAGGGAGATCAGTTTAAGAATGCCACCCCCTTCACCTTCTGCATCTAGGGGAGCCGGACTCTCTGGGCCATCACTTCTGCCCTAGCGAGGCCAGACGGAGTAGCAGGCAGAACAATGGCTTTGGAGCCTGACAGATCTGGACTCAGTTTCCTTCTCTGTCTCATTTAACAGCTCTGTAATCTTGGGCAGGTCATTTCACACCTTTGATCCTCGGCTCCTCGTTTGCACGATGGGAGTAATAATAATAGTGACTTTGCTGCATGCCCATGAGAATTAGAGATATTTGTGGGAAGCACCTGGAGCATAGTACATGCTCAATAAAGACACGGCAGCTATGGTGGCCACGGGGACTAGTGAGGCTCCTCCCGGTACAAAATGATTGCTGACTGCTGACCGTAAATGAGGTGTAAGAAGAGGGGTAGCAGGACTGGACATTTGTGGCAACATCTGTCTATTTACGTCTTTGGGGGAATGACGAAGAAGGCTAGAAATGGCCCGATTCCTGGGCAAATCTCAGCCTGTGTGGGAGCCGACGTGGTAAGCAGCATTGTTCAATGTTGAGAAGACGTAAGAGTACCGGGCAGTGGTTCTGTTAGCAGTCATATCGACATCAGACCATGGGCACCGTTTAGTAGGAAAACGTCTGGCCAGTGGGAAATGGAAAGGACTGGAACCAGAAGAATGCAAGTAGAGGGGGACCGGGAAGAAAGACAGCACCCCGAGTCAGAGGCAGACAGCTACGCAGGGCAAGAAAGCAGGATGGCTGAATTTTTCTGAGAGGACTGGACTGGGACCCTAGGCGGCCGCCAGTCAGGGTGGGGTGAGATTAAAGGGGGCCTGGGGTGAAAGTGGGGTGGGAAGTATGCTATCCAGGGGCTGGATCCCTTTCTCTGTTGCTTTCCAGGGAATGATGGAAGGAGCCAGGAAGATAAGATAATCTGGTGCCTATAAATAAATGGGAGGGTGGACTCAGATCCCTCAGCAGAGTGTTAGGACCTTAAGAGCAGTAGCTTCAGGAATAGCCAGAAGGCCAGCGGGCTGCAGGGAGGTGGAGGCAGAGAATGCCTATGGCTAAAATCAGACTTAACATAGGAGCCTGAATCACAGGTTCCCTTCTGGACGTGACTGTGAACTGGGATGCAGACCCAAATTGCAGGGATTTGCAGGCTGAGTGAAAAGAGATAAAACCGTGTTGATAGAGAATTGTTGATGTTGCAGTGGCCAAAAAGACCCAGAGCAGTTCTAAAGAGTTCTACATCACAGGGGTCTGAGTGTCCGGAAGAAGGAAATTCGACTGACTGGAAAGTATGATCCCTGACATCCCGAAACACCCCGAGGCTCCCCAGGAGCTTGTCTTTTACTCTGCAGGGCAGCTGCTCTGCCTGCATTTAACAGAGGAGGAAACTGAGGCTCAGAGTGACTTAACCCACGAGCTCAGCTCAGCAAGTACAGGGCTGGGGCTACAATTTGGGTCCACCCACTCCCAGTCCAAAGATCTTGTGAATATACCTTAACCCAACGAACATTTGCTGGGAACCTACTTATTTAATAATTACAACCACATCTTCCCTTTTCTGCGACCTTACCAGGGGACCCAGGGTCTAAGTGTTTTAGATGCATCGATTCCTTTAAGCCCCAGGAAAGTCTCCCAACTTGAACTCAGGTTGCCCAGATGAGGGAATTGAGTCTTAGAAAAGAGGGAGATGGACAGAACGAATCAGACCTTGACTCTGAATCTAAGAACGTGTGTGTTTGGGGAGGGGGCGGGGAGCACACAAAGACTGATTTTCAAGTGGCTTGTGGATTCAGTTTAGCCGTTTTATAGTGGCACTTCGAGCGTGTCCCAAACGGAAATTCGAGTCCAGTAAAGCAATAGTGGCGGAATCGCGGCTGCAGAGGTGAGATTCAATCAGCCTAAACTTTGGTGCTGCTGTGCCTAATAAGACTGTAAAGACAAAAAACGAAATTTAAAAGGCCGATGGCAAAACGCGTAGGGAAAGCCAAACGGCGCAACGAAGGGGGAAAAATATATATATATATATATATATATATATATATATATATGGAAATTGATCAGAATTCCGGTGCAAGAAAGGAGTCGCTTCGGGAGGTCAAGGCGGCGGGTAGAGGAGGCACCAATCACCAATCGGGAAGGGAGCATCGGACTATCCGGGCGGGCGCACAGGCCAGCCCGGCGAGGAAGAGGGAGGAACTCCTCTAACCACCGGGCGTTCCGTATCTCGATCAACTGGGACCTTGAGAGTTTTTCGGTGGGCGCCGTGAACGCCCTGAAATTTTGCCAGAATGTTGCCCTGTGTATGTGCATTTTTTTCCTCAAAGGAATCCCAGACCCTTCTCCAAACTTGGGTTTAGACAGTCAGGTGAGAATCGTGGCAAGGGGTCGCTCAATTCTTTCCAGAAGTGTCCCTTCCCAGGGCCATTCAGGAGCCTGCCCCAGCTTTCAGGGCTGGGTGCGCGGGGGGCAAGGGTAGCAAGGCGTATGTAGGCTGAGCAGCTCCCGGACGGAGGGGGTCGCGTACTTGAGAGGTGGTCTTAGGAGGTGCTGGGGTTGCTGCCCAAGGGGAGATGGGGAGTGGGGACTGAGGGAGTCTGGGAGACGAATAGGGGAAGGCAGACCCGGGCAAGTTGGGGAGCAGGGGAGTAGGGCAGAGGAGAAGAGGAGTCCACCCCAAAAAGGCGAGTGGCCGGAGAGGGGGGGGGAAGCCAGAAAGGCAGGGCGAAAATGCCCGGGGAGGGTGGTGGTGGTGGAGAGGAGCGGCGGAGAGAATGGTGGAGGAGGGCCACAGCCCAGAGTTCTCACGGCCTAGGCCCGAGGTAGACCGGACACAGCCTTGGCGCTCAGTCCTGTTTCCTTTTCCTCTCAGTACCCGGACCGCGCTGCCGGGCCGGGCGGGTGGATCGAGCGCCCTGGAAGCAAGCGGCGCCCCAAAGGAGTCTCCTTTTCACGCGGAGAACCCGGCCCCTCCTCCAGGCCCCCAGGGTCCGAGTCCTGCTTCCCCCGCCACCCGGAGCCGGCTCCGGGGCAGTTTTCCACCCGAGGGGCGTGTCTCGGAACCTGGGGAACGCTCCGCCCAGGACCCCCTCCTGAGGACTGGAGGGGCGAGGGAGGAGCGAGGGAGGGGCGGGAGGCGACCTAGTTAGCGAGCCCGCCCCCTCCCCGCCGGCCGGGCCTCGCCGGGCCTCCCGTCCGGCCGAGCCCGCAAGGGTTAAAGGCGGCGGCAGGTGAGGTGGGCGGGGCCGCGGACTCGGGGAAAAAGGAGCGCAGGGCAGAGGATGAAGGCAGAGAGCGCGGGTGAGTCACGGGCGGAGCTGGCCTTGCTCGCTCGCTCGCTCGCTCGCTCCCTGGCTCCCGCCCGCCCTCCGCCCTCCCGCTGGCCCTCCGCCCCTCCTCCGCCTCCCGCTGCCCGCCGCCCGCCGCCGGGTCCGGTCGCGGCCCCCGCTGGTCCTCGGCTCCTGCCCCTCGCCCCCGGAGAGCCCGCCGGCGCGCGGGGCCCATGAGCGCCCGTGGGTAGCGCGCCAGCCAGCCGTGCCCGGAGCCCGAGCGCAGCCTCCAGGTAGGAACCAGGGTCTGGGCGGCCAGGGGTGCGCGATCCCGGGCTCCTCTCGGAAAGACGCGCCGCGCACTCGCCACAGCCTCCCGTAGCCTTGGGGGAGGTGGTCCTAAAGAATCCGAGGGGCTTGGAGCCCCGGCCGAGTGAAACCTGGGCGGAAGGGCGAGACGAGGGACCGAGGAGGCTGGAGACCGGGGAAACTGGAGCGACTGGGACAACCGGAGGACTGGAACCTTGAGGACTGGGAGTACGGAAGTCCTGACCACCTGAGCGCCGGTGATCGGGAGAGGGAGGCGGCGGAAGGGGGAAGAAGGGTGTCTCTACCCGGCTTCCTGCGTTGGGGAGCGGGAAGCCGGGAGTGCGCGCCCTGCTGTCTCCCTTCCCGAAACTTTGCAGGCAGGCCGTGGCATCCCAGGACTGGACTCCCTGGCCCTGTGTCGGGAGAGGCCACTCTGGAACCTGGGTCGTTAGCTTCCCCGCCCCCCGGTCCCTGGGGCAGTTCCCAGACGCCAAAAGCTATTAGGGTCCCAGGCCTCTTTGCTCCCGCCCAGCCCCTTCTGGGCTGCCCCGCCTGGGCCTGAGGCTCCATCGCTGCTGCTTCACCCTTGTTCCTTTTTTGTGGTAAGGCAGCGGGAGCCTGAGTAGGCGCCCCAGTCCCCCTCTCCCTCCCTCTCCAAATCTACCAGGGACATCTCTTTGGTCCCAGAGGCCAAAGGTGGTAGGGTCAGCTGAACCCTGCTGTGGGAAGAAGTCCCTGCCCTAAACCACTGCATCTCCTCCCCCACCATCAGAGAAGGCCAGGCACACAAGCCCGACACCTGAGGCACCAGGGCTCCCAGGCTTTAGAGAGGTGGTGAGAGAAAAAGGACTTTCAAGTCACAGATATGTGGTTAAGAAAGAGAGGGGTGGGTATCTTTTGGTTCCCAACGGTGTAGGGAAAGGGTAACAGACCAGGAGTCCGGAGACCTGGTTCACAGAGGTACATAAAGTATGCATTTGTTGATTGAACAAATAAATGAATGTCTGTTCAAGTCATTTCTCCAAATGCTGCCTCAGTGTCCTCTTTTTTTTTTTTTTATAAGAGGGTTGGCCTGAAGCAGTGATTCTCAGTTTGTCTGTATATTAGAACTGTCTGCAGAACACCTAAGAACGATCGAAGCCTAGAATGCACCCCCCTATATCGTCTCTGGGGGTAATTCTTCTCAGTGTCTGTGATTCTGGGTTTCCTTGTTGCCCTCCGCTGTCCCCACTTCGACTCTGCATCCCGTAAGGGGGTGACAATTTTACCTTTCAGAGCTTGCTAGTAAGCTCTTCTCTCGTTGACCCCCTTCTCTGGGGAAGCTGACCCCTCCCAGCTTCACATCTGGGTCTCCCCCAGATTGGAGGAGGGCACGGGTAACAGCCAGACAGCCAGCTGTGTGGCTGTGTGGGTCAGGACAGGAGAGGAAGCTTAACTTTCTCTGGTGGGGAGAAGTCCCCTGGGAATCAACACTGAACCTGCACCCCAGGGAGGTGAATTCCTGCCTGAGGGAGAGGGGTGGGGGCCAGGAATGGAAGTGGGTTTGGTGGAACCATCTGGACAGAGAGCGGAGGGCAATGGTAGAGAACAGTGAAATGCTCTTCCTCATTGAACATGCCTCAGGGACGGAACGAGGTCTCTTTCCCCAATACCTCAGAACCTGCTTTGAGCTTTGGAAAATCAGGTCACCTCAAGCTTTGAGTTTCAGAAACAGACCACCTCCCTCTCCTCATCTGTGTCCTGAGTTAAACTCGGGAAGCCAAGATGGGTGTAGAGCCTCCATTTGGGCTGGAAGCAGGGCTGCAGAAGGTAAACGCCACACTGCCCTTTGCGCTGGTCCGGGCAGATAGGGTGGGGATGGTTTTAGCATGGAACTGTAGGTGTATCTGACCTACCAGCCTGGGACCAGCCCAACTGTCAGGATGAGCTGGGCCCCATAGGAGGGATCAGCTAGGAGAAGGTAGACTCCCCCGCCTTGGCTGAGAACCTCACACCCTCAACCCTTCCTAGCACTCCCAAATTCTGTTAACTGGTCGTTAGTCCTCACTGGGAGGTGTGCTCCTCTTTTGCAGCGGCCAGTCCCAGTCGGGAGAGGAGCACTTTGCGGGGAGGCCGTCTGGGTTCGGACTGAAAGTGACTTGGTTACTTTGCTCACTTCACCTCCTCTTTGCCTCCTTTAGGTCCTACCTGAGGTGCCCCTGACCATCCCTGTTCCCCACCCCACCCCGGATCCCGGCAATGCTAACCGCTGTCTGCGGCTCTCTGGGCAGCCAGCACACGGACGCGCCTCACGCCTCCCCGCCGCGCCTCGACCTGCAGCCTCTCCAAACATACCAGGGCCACACGAGCCCGGAGGCCGGGGACTACCCCTCCCCACTGCAGCCTGGAGGGCTGCAGAGCCTCCCGCTGGGCCCTGAGGTGGACTTCTCACAGGGCTATGAGCTGCCGGGGGCCTCCTCTCGGGTAACCTGCGAGGACCTGGAAAGCGACAGTCCCTTGGCCCCGGGACCCTTTTCCAAGCTCCTGCAGCCGGACATGTCCCACCATTACGAATCGTGGTTCCGGCCAACTCACCCAGGCACTGAGGATGGCTCCTGGTGGGACCTTCATCCGGGCACCAGCTGGATGGACCTCCCCCACACTCAGGGCACGCTCACCTCGCCTGGCCACCCCGGGGCGCTTCAGGCTGGCTTGGGGGGCTACGTCGGAGACCACCAGCTTTGCGCACCGCCTCCCCACCCGCACCCGCACCACCTCCTCCCAGCCGCCGGAGGGCAGCACCTCCTGGGGCCTCCCGACGGGGCCAAGGCCTTGGAAGCGGCCGCCCCGGAGTCCCAGGGGCTGGATTCCAGTCTGGACGGAGCAGCCCGGCCCAAAGGCTCCCGGCGGTCAGTGCCCCGCAGCTCAGGCCAGACCGTGTGCCGCTGCCCCAATTGCCTGGAGGCGGAGCGACTGGGGGCTCCGTGCGGGCCCGACGGGGGCAAGAAGAAGCATTTGCACAATTGCCACATCCCGGGCTGCGGGAAAGCCTACGCCAAGACATCGCACCTGAAGGCGCACCTGCGCTGGCACAGCGGCGACCGTCCCTTCGTGTGCAACTGGCTCTTCTGCGGCAAGCGCTTCACGCGCTCCGACGAGCTGCAGCGCCACCTCCAGACCCACACGGGCACCAAGAAGTTCCCCTGTGCCGTCTGCAGCCGCGTCTTCATGCGCAGCGACCACCTGGCCAAACACATGAAAACCCACGAGGGCGCCAAGGAGGAGGCTGCCGGGGCGGCCGCGGGCGAGGGCAAGGCCAGCGGAGCGGTGGAGCCCGCCGGGGGCAAAGGCAAGCGGGAGGCCGAGGGCGGCGCGGCTCCCTCCAACTGAGCTCCTCCGGTACCGCCCCCCCCCCCCATTGGTCTCCCCTGGGGGCATCCGAAGAGCTTTCCTCCTGGCCTGATGCCTTTGAGGGGCGACTTGAGGAAGAGGAGAAGGTGGTTATTTATTGAGGGGGAGGAAAAGTGGTGCCGGGTCGGGGAGACGGGGCGCTAGGTAGGGGTGTTTTGGTCTCGGGGCCGGACGAAAAGTGTTTGGCTAGGCTGGGGGAGCTGCGCATGCCCCTCTGTTCCCCCCCCCCCCCCGCCCCTTCATCCCTTATTTCGCTCCTGTCCCCAGGCTCGGGGGTTGGGGTGGGGTACCCGTACCGCGCCTGGAGGGTGGAGGGGACCTGCTGGAAGAGACGGCGCGTCCCTGGAGCAGAGAGGAGTGGGGCCGCCCCGGGCGCTGAGGGTAGTTGTCTGGACACGTCCTTAGCGCCTGGGAACCGGGACATAAAAGCGCCTCCGGACCCGCCCTGCGGCCCGGGTCCCTTTCATCCCGCTTTTAGTGCTTCTGTCCCTATGGTTTCCCGAGGGAGAGCTGAGGTGGGGTAGGGGAGGCAGGGGTCCCCCTTAGGGAGCGGTCTCTATCTGGTTGGGAGGGTTGTTGCTGTAGAAATAACTCCTTTGATGTGCCTCCCGGTTAACCCTTCCAAACCCACTCTGATGGGGCCATGAAGGAAGAGAGGAAGCGGCCAGAATCCGGGACAGCCGTGCAGCCAGAGCTGTGGGGTCGAGGGGAGAGCTAGATTGGGAAGGGGGAGGGCAAAAAAAAAGTCCCCTTCTAAAAGGAGAGAAAGGAATTTGGCGCGGCAGTGGAAGGAGCTAACCCCTTCCCTCTCTAACTCGGATTCAGTCCTTGACTCATGGTTTTTATGAAAAATAAAGTTCGGTATAGTCCACATTCCCCATCTGTTACCTGATGTAGGTTTTCAAAACTGCCAGAAGCCCCCACCCTAGAATTGATGTAGGTCCCTCATCCCAGGTCACCCATCATTTGCTTCTCCCTTAGGGACGAGAGGAAGAGGGTTACTTGGTTGACCAGGGAGTAGGTGAGGTGTCCCAGCACAGGGACCTACAGTGGTCCCCACTTGGAGCGGAGGACTCTGCCCCTGCCCACCTGCTCACTAAGCCCCAGCTCTTTCTTTGCTCTGCCTTTTCCTTTCTCTGCTGCCTGCAAGACTGGCCCCTCCTATAGAGTGTGTGTTAGAAGGCTCCTTTCTCCCCATTTTGACTCTGGGCAGGGGGACTCCCTTTGCATATGAAGGAGGTGTTCTCCTAGTGGAAGGGGTCTGTCTTCTGAGGTGATATCCAGGAAGCTGTTCCTGTCCCCTTCTTTAGATGCTAGAAATACATCCTGATTGTGATCCTGGAGTGGGGACTGGGGAGGGGAAAGCCTAGCAGGGGCAGAGCCAGAGTCAGGCAAAGGGAAGGAAGCTGATGGGGGAAGGATCTGGAACTAGCGGGCTTTCCCCGGCTAGAGGTAGAGACCATAACATTCCCCCTGACCTCCCCTTCCCCCTTGCCCCTCTTTCTCTACCCGGACCCCTATGCGAGGATTAGTTGTGTATTGATTTTTAAGTTATAAGCAAAAGGTATTTTATTTAATATTAGGGCACGTGTGTGTGCATGTTGTTTGTACGTGTGTGTGTGTTTCTCTACTGAGCCTGGGGTCTCCAGCTAGAGAGACCCCACCTTGTTCACCCCGTCCAAGGTCCTAGGACATAGGCCCACAGCGTCTCTTCCTCCCTTAGGGATGCTGGAGCCCAGTCCCCAGGACTGGGAGCTAAATGGGAAGTGGGTCTGGGGTCTGGGTAGGAATATGTGTTTGTGTAAAAAAGGGAGCCCTTCTTAAAAGGGACAGGGTGACTCTCCCTGAGAGGCTCATGGGCCTGGGGTAGTTTAAGAAGTAATGTTCTTTCTTTTTGCTCCCTCTTTTCCCTACCTCTTGCTACCCCAACCAGAGGTCCCTTTCCTTGCTGAGAGGGTTGGGGGCAGGAGAGATCTGGCAGCACCTGCAGGCTGCCTGGGCAGGTGGAGAGAGGGGGAGAGAGGGAGGGCACTGTGGGTGTGGGATGCCTTTCTCCTCCACCCATCGAAACCAGCCACCCCCTCCTGGTGCCACCAGGACAGTCTTCCCCAGTGACCATCCTATTGGGAACTCCTGAATGGCTGTTCAAGGTTGTAGGGGGACACCGATGTTCCCCCTACGGAGGCCTTGAGCTCCCAGGGTGCCGGTGCGGGCTTCGGATAGGTTTTCTTCTGCTCCCCTCCTTCATAGATCTAGGTTGCTTGGCTGTCTGCCCCCCTTCTAGGCAGCCCCCTAGAGGAGAAATGTAGGATTTTTTTTTTCTTTTAACTGCTGTGAACCCACTTTGGGGGCGGGGGGAGGAGGAGGAAGAAACAGCCTGTGTTTTTTATGCCATAATAAAGTCATCAACCACATCATTGCTTCATTTGTCTTCCAGCTCTGGTTTCCTTTTTGACTCAGTGTCCCTTAGCAGTGAGGACGAGGCCGGCTGCTGGGTGGGGTGGACACTTCCCTTTGATCCTGCAGCCCTGCGCAGCCTCACCTCCCTTTGTTTGGGGGCAGAGCTGAGCCGATTGAAGAAGGGTCAGATCCTTCCCTGGAGGTGGCTAATGCCGAAGGAAGGAGGGTTAACCCTCAGGGTTGATAGCTGGGCTGACTGTCCCTCCCTGGGGGATAAGAAGGGTGTAGATATTTCCTTCCTCCACATATAAGCCCCCTCTTTCCCCTCCTCTGCCAAGAATGCTGGTTCCCCGCCTTCCCAGAGAGAACCAGCCTCTGGGGCCCCGTCACCCCGCCCCCGTGGGGGTGTGATCAGTCCCTCTGGCTGTCAGTGAGGCGGGGGTGACTGACAGCGATTTCTTCACCCAGGATGATCCCTATCAGGGACAAGGCGATGAAAGGCAGCCAAGATATCTGATGGGCTCCCGCCCAGCTGGAAAGTATGAGGGAAGGATCCTACTGCAACTCTCAGCTAGAGGGCCCGCCACAGTTACACAACCACAGTGTGCACAAACGCACCCTCACTGGACCCATCGGGCATCCTTGGATATGCAGAAATGCCCATCTGTATACACTTTCCCGGGCTGCCCAATTTCTGGTATTGCAGCTGGTGCCTAATTCATGTGCAGTGAGAAACAAACACCTTATGACTCCAGAGCCCCAAAGCTAGGAAGGTTGACAGAGGATCGATTTGGGACTCCAAAGGGGCAGGCCAGATTACTGTGTAGTTTTACCTTCCCATCCTACATTTTGGCCAAAATTATTATCTTCCCTAGTGGGATTCCGGTTTCCCCCACTCCACCCCTAGCCCAATTTCCTGGAGCCAAATCTGGTACCCAGATTGGTTCCTCTCATCACTTGTTTGGGAGAATCTGGAGTCACAAAGTTTAAGGCCACTTTGGGATATGGGGGGTGGGGTATCAGAATGATTTAGGGGGTGGAGCTGGAAGCAGACTCATTTTGGGGGGAGCAACTGTTTATTTTCTCTTGCTCCTGGATTTGGAAGCCTGGGAAGAGGGGCGGGCACACAAAGTTCCAGTGATGGCGACCTCATGCCCATCCGCCCCACTCCTTGGGGTGCTTCTTTTGTCTTCCAAGAGGTTGGGGGCGGGGGGAAGTTAGACCCCAGGAGCCTGGTGAGTCCTCTCCTCCTTTAGCCCATCGCTGCCCCCAGGGACAGGAGGGCAGCTGTGGGGCCGGCTGGGCCTGTCTAGGCAGGGCCAGGGCCACCCCTCCTCCCCTCGCAGCTCCTCCTGCTGACCCGCATTCTTAGCGGGGGCCTTTGGTGGGGCTCTGATGTTTGCTCACTGGCTCTGATCGGCAGCAATGCTGCTTGGCTGGCCTGGCCCCCCTGAGGGAGCCCAAGGCCACCACTGATGCCTCAGATCTGGTGCCCCCACAGGGATGATCCTGGAGGGGCCGGGAGGGAATTAGGGAAGTCAGACCATGTGGGCTGACCCTTTGGGCAACCTCTCTGAGTGGCCATCTGCTGTCTTGGGAGGTGGGAGTACAGGCCTTCTAGGGTGTTCGAGTGAAATCAGGAATGGGAAAGTGACCAAGCCGCAGGCCGCCTGGGAACTGCAGCCTGGGGCTGCGCTGTGGTCCCGCAGGGACACACTGCCCCACCGCGGGCAGCAGGGGAAGTGCAGGAGTGGAGCTGGCTTTGCGGCAGGCTGCTTCGGGTGCTCATGTTCGTCAGCACGCAGCCTTGATGTTTGCTTCTGGAATGATGTCCAAGGGCAAGCTCACAACCCCTCCCCGACAGCGCACCTGAAGACGCCTTCACTTTCCATTAATTCTGGTGAGCCCGACTGCTCAGCATGTTAGCCGTGCAGGTTTGAAAAGAGTCTCAGGATCCAAATAGTCTGGCTGTTTCCACCTGGTAGAGGGCATATTAGAGTCACCCATGGAGTTTTTCAAGACACCCTGATTCATTTTCCAGCACCCCACCAAGTTATGCCCTTAGGGACATATTAGAGCAGCGCTTCTCAAACTTGACACTAGGGGTGGTTTTGTTTAAAAATAACTTAAAAAAAAGTATTTATTTATTTAGAGAATGCAAGCAGGGGAGGGTCGTAGAGAGAGAGGGAGAGAGGATCCCAATGCAGAGCCTGACGCAGGTCTCGAACGCACAAACCTTGAGGTCATGCCCTAAATGGAGGTCAGACACTTAACCAACTGAGCCACCCAGGCGCCCCTGTACTGGGGGTGTTGTTAACATGCTTCAGATTCAGTAGGTTTGAGGTGGGGCTCAAGAGTCTGCATTTTTAACAAGCTTTCAGGTGATGTTGATGCGGGCAGTCTGTGGAACACTGAGTAGTGGAGTATTAAAGTATTATGTTGTGCTGTGGGAGTCACGTGGTTGAAAACTAATGCCTCCCCTCCCTCCCCAAACCATGGCTGAGAACCACTGATCTAGTTCAATGCCATCATTTTGCCACTGGGGAAACTGAGGCCGTCAAAGATAAAGTGACCTGCCCAGACAGCCACTGCAGCTCCATAGCAGATGCAAGACAAGATGCCAGTGTTTAGAGTTCCAGGCGATGCTCTTCCCTGCCTCCAGCCCAGCTTCTAGGTCAATTCATCTTACAAGTGGCAGTCCCCCTTCTGAAAATGAAGCCCACCTCCTTGGGGACAGCTTCCTCTTCAGAATCAGCCTCAGATACCTACAGGCAATTAGAAAGTATCTTAGATTTCAGCTCCCCCAACACCCTTATCTGGTACACCTGCCCACAGTCGGCCTCCTGGGGAAGCCATGGCCTCTGTGCCTTCATTCCCATCCCAGGAGAGACCACAGGCTGGGATGCTGTGGCCAGGGCTCTGAACAGCAACCCTGACTGTTTGGCAGGATGGATGTGGGAGAAGTAGATAATCTGCAGTATCTCTCCTGTCCCCATTTCTGGAGGGCTTCATAGAGCAAAAAGGGGTGAGATGCATTTGCTTAAATGCTGGTAATGGAGATGCATTATAGAGGAAAATGACCTGGAAAGCAGAACATTTGGGATCAGAGTCCAAATCCCCACACCGGTATGTGCCCCCTTGGCCAAGACTTCTCCTTTGTTGTTTCAGTTTCACTATATATAAAGGCACAAAATCTTTGGACTAGAAATTTCCAAATTTCCTTTCAAAGCTATTTTCCTATGAGTTTGAGCACCGTGGGCCAGAATCTACCTTTGGGGAGTCAGATGGGTTTTGAGCATATGTGCATTTAAAAAATGCATTACAGGCGCCTAGGTGGCTGGGTTGAGCATCGGACTTCCGCTCAGATCACGATCTCGCTGTTTGTGGGTTCGAGCCCCGCGTCCGGCACTGTGCTGACAACTCAAGAGTCTGGAATCTGCTTCGGATTCTGTGTCTCCTTCTCTCTCTGCCCCTCCCCCATTTGTGCTCTGTCTCTCAAAAATAAACAAATGTAAAAAAAAAATTTTTTTTTAATGCATTAACTTAAGTTATCCCTAGACCTCCTTCCCTGTAACAATCTTTCAGATCTTATGCCCTGGGGGGGAGGTAGGGCTAGGTTGCACCTTTGTAATTGAAACCAGGACGCTGCGAGCTGAGGTTTTTCCTCCAGATGCCCCAGCAATCCGCGCTCTCTAGCAAATCTGGCCGGTTTTTCTTTCCTCTCTTTTTACGTGGGTTCCTTTCCACCTGCAGATGCCTCTCCCCATGGTGTCTCGGCTGGAAGTGCCCGTGAGCCGTCCGAGCTAGGAAGGGCAGGCGGACCGGCAAGGTCTCCCACGCTGCTGCGCTCCAAGAAGTAGTGTTGGCGCGCACCCTGGTGGAAAACCAAGGAACTGCAGGCGCTTGGTTCCGGCTCCGCCCCCCGGGCCAAAGCCTTCCAGGTCACCTGTGAGCCTCCGCCCAATGACCCGGAGCGGAGGCGGTGGCGCCCGGGACTAAGCCGGGGATCTTGGAGGGAGACAGGGTGAGGGGCAAACGGTATTGGGGAGGCGAGAATGTGGACAGAAAAGGGGCGAGGGAGTGGGGTGGGGTGGCGAGGGAGGTGGTCCCGCGACGGCACTGGTGGGTCGGGCTCCCCGTTGGGCAGGGCCCTGGGAGCTTGCGGTGTGCGCCCGCCTGCTGCCTCCCAAGCCTGGAGCCTGGGCTGTGCACGCCGCGCATCGAGTGTGTCCATGACCCAACAGCAGTGTCTTCCCTGAGTGCCTGTTTACACGTGTTGGGAAGCGGGGGGCTCCCTAGGGCTGAGCTCTGGCCAGGATGGTGGAGAGGCGGCGTGAGGGGGACACATGCACCTCCACCTCTCCCCAGATGGCTTCGTGGAGCTCTGACACCCCGTGTTCCTGCGATTGCTTTGTTTCCGTGCCCCCGGCCTCGGCCATCCCAGCTGTGATCTTTGCCAAGAATTCCGACCGACCGCGGGACGAGGTGCAGGAGGTGGTGTTTGTACCGGCAGGCACTCATGCCCCTGGCAGCCGGCTCCAGGTGGGTTAGGCCTTAGGGAAGCGGCGGGAGGTGTGGTCGATCTAGGCATTCTTCTAAGACCCTCCTCCTCTGCGCCTCGCACCTGGCAAGTCCCCGGATGTGGTGGGGAGAGCGTGACCTTCCAGTCTACCAACCTGGACCTGGCCTGTTAGTTAGCTGCTGTCCACCTCGGTTTCCTCATCTGTACAATGGGAATGATAAAACCCTTTCTGAATGGACTCCCTCTCTCCTCCCTTACCTGCAGTGCACCTACATTGAGGTGGAACAGGTGTCAAGGACTCACGCTGTAATCCTGAGCCGCCCTTCTTGGCTGTGGGGGGCTGAGATGGGCGCCAATGAGCATGGTGTCTGCATTGGCAATGAGGCAGTGTGGACCAAGGAGCCAGTTGGAGAGGGGGAAGCCCTACTAGGCATGGACCTACTCAGGTGCGGACCCTGCCTTCCCTCATCTCTACACACTGAAAGGCTGAGAGCCGAGGAC